ATACCCTGATCAGTAGAGTCTTTCAGAGCCCCTCTATAGTGGGCTCCTGTCCTGTTTCCTGTGTTTTCCCTTTTCTAATGTCAATCCTGTCTGCTTTTGTGGATGAGGATTGAATACCTTACCCAGGGTTCTCCACCTTGCTTAGCTTCGTTAGGTGTACAGATTTTAGTATGTTTAACCTATATTATATGTCTAATAACCAATTATGAGTAAGTATATACCATGTGTGTCTTTCTGCTTCTCAGTTACCTCATTCAAGATGATCTTTTCTAGTACTCACCATTTGCCTGCAAATTTCATGATATACTTTTTAATAGCTGAGTAGTATTCCATTGTGTAGATGTACCACAATTTCTGTATCCACTCTTCCATTGAGGGACATCTAGGTTGTTTACAGATTCTGGCTATTACGAATAGAGCTGCTACGAACATGTTTGAGCAATTGTCTTTATTGAATGGTGGGGCATCTTTTGGGTATAGGCCTAGTAGTGGTATACCTGGACCTTGAGGGTAGCACTATTCCTAATTTTGGGGGGAAGCCCCAGATTCATTTCCAAAGTGGTTGTGCAAGTTTACATTCCCACCAGCAATGGAGGAGGGTTCCCCTTTCTCTACATCCTCTCCAGCATGCATCATCCTCGAGTTTTTGATCTTAGCCATTCTGATGGGTGTAAGGTGAAATCTCAGGGTTGTTTTGATTTACATTTCCCTGATGACTAAATATGCTGAACATTTCTTTAAGTGTTTTTCTGCTATTCGATATTCCTCTGCTGAGAATTCTCTGTTTAGCTCTGTACCTCATTTTTTTTAAACTTTATATTTCTTTCATTAGCCATAACTACCTCAGTTTTATTTGTTTCTATATTTTTTTAATTTTTTATTAATTACACTTTATTCATTTTGCATCCCCCCATAAGCCCCTCCCTCCTCCCCTCCCGATCCCACCCTCCCTCCCCTTTCTGCATGCATGCCACTCCCCAAGTCCACTGATAGGGGAGGTTCTCCTCTCCTTTCTGATCTTAATCTATCAGTTCTCATCAAAATTGGCTGCATTGTCCTCTACCATGGCCTGGTAAGGCTGCTCCCCCCTCAGGGGGAGGTGATCAACGAGCAGGCCAACCAGATTATGTCAGAGGCAGTCCCTCTTTCCATTACTCTGTAACCCACTTGGACACTGAACTGCCATGGGCTACATCTGTGCAGGAGTTCTAGGTTATCTCTACGAATAGTCCTTGGTTGGAGTATGAGTCTCTGGGAAGTTCCCTGTGTTCAAATTATCTTGTTCTGTTGCTCTGCTTGTGGAGTTCCCGTCCCCTTCAGCTCTTACTATTTCCCACTTCTTACATAAAATTCCATTCACTCTGCCCATCAGTTGGCCATCTGGCTCAGCATCTGCTTTGACAGTCTATACTGCAGAGGCTTTCAGAGGCCCTCTGTGGCAGGTTTCAAGGTATTCGATTAATTGGTTTGTTGGTGTTAAACTTCTTCAGTTCTTTTAATATTAGGGATATGATATATCACTTATACGTGGATAGTGAAAAAAATAAAAATTAAAAAAGTGGATAGTGGCCATATAATATAGGATAAACATACTAAAATATATAGCCCTAAAGAAGCTAAACAACAGGAAGGACCTAGGTAAGATGCTTAATCCCCATTCAGAAGGGCAAAAAGGATAGATATTAGAAATAGGAGAAGACAAGGAACAGGATAGGAGCCTTCAACAGGGGACCTCTGAAAGACTCTCCCCACCAGGATATGGAAGGAGATACTGAGACTCATAGCCAAACTTTGGGCTGAGTGACAGAATCCTTATGGAGGAAGAGGGAGATAGAAAGATTTGGAGAGAACAGGAACTCCACAAGGAGACCAAAAGAACTCAAAACCTGGGCCAAGGGGGTCCATACATGTAGAGGACCTAGACCCCCTGTGCAAAGGAAACTCATTTGCCGCTCAGTTTCCAAGTGGGTTCCTTAGTAAGGGGTACAGAGGCTGTCTCTGACAGGTACTCAGTGGCCAGCTCTTTGATCACCTCCAACTGTGGGGTACACCCTTGCCAGGCCACAAAGGAAGATTATACAAGCCAGACTTGATAAAACCCGATAAGCTAGGGTCAAATAGAAGCGGAGGAAGCCCTCCTAATCAGGGGACTAGTGAAATGTCTTAGGGGGAGAAAAGTGAGAGTGGGTGGTACTGGGAGGAGACAAGGGAGTGGGCTACAGAGGGGTTACAAAATGAATAAATTGTAATAAATGTATAAATAAAATTTAATTTAAAAATGCAAATGACAAAACATGCTGGAAAGGATATGGAGAAAGAGGAACTTTCCTCCATTGCTGGTGGCAATATAAGCTTGTGAAACCACTTTAGAAATCAATTTGGTACTTTCTCAGAAAATTAAGAATAGTGCTAACTCAAGATTCATCTATACCATTCCTAAGCATATATCCAAAATATGCTCAAGTATGCAACAAGGACAACCATGTTCATAGCAGCTGTATTCATAATAGTCAGAATGTGGAAACAACCAAGAATCATTTTTCCTAAAGCAGTGTGAAAGCATTAGGGACAAAAGCCTAAAAGGCCACTACCTCAAAAGAAGGAAGGCAGAGACAGGAATGTCACTGGAGACTAAAAGGCAAGTTTGACTGGCATATGCAACAGTGAATTATAAGGGAGACACTACTTCAAACAAGGCGCAACACATGCCCTCACTTATACAAATAAATCTGCATAGATGTGAGTACACAAAACATGCATACTTCATTTATACACAAAATAAGATTTAAATATATTAAAGTTCATTATAGACTAGTTCCTGAAATTCTGTGAACAAATAGATTTTTATGATAATGTAGCATTGCTTATATCCATAATATACCCATTAGTTTCTTAGTGACAACATGAATTTTTGCATATTCATCTCTGTATTGAAACACTACACAGTAGGTAACGAGGAATTGCTTTTGGGAATAGTGATAAATTTAGTTGATTACTAACAATTAGTAAATAATCAAAACTACCACAAACTCTGTAAATAAATACAATGTAGTGAGAAGTAACCAAACAACAGTGAATTGTGTAACACATGGTAATATCACATGTTATTAGAATAATGTTTAGGACAATGCATGAATCATTTATAAATAGATCTTTATTATGATAGTATAATCAAAAAAATACTTACGAGAGTTAACAGTGAACACTAGGTTCAATGAGAGACTGTGTCTTTAAAAAATTAAGGTGAAAACCAATACAGGCAAATGCATCTATTGACTCTGCTCCCCACATGGGTTTCCAGAGCTGAGCACACATATGCATACATGCATAAATCACAAAAATAAAATAATTTTAAAATTAAAAATAGACAATCCTAAGTACAATAACATATTTTCATGTCTTTTGTAGTTAGGTATGCTACTTTTTATCTCATAACAAAATTTAAACCCATTTATCATTTAAAAATCGTATGTTTGATATGCCCTTTTACAAGTAATATAATTTTTCATGTCAATAGTTCTGTACATCTTTGATACTTCTGTATTTATTATTTGCTTTCGAGACATATTGTTTATTACTGTTCTAGACTATTCCACTGTTGTCTTAGATATGAAATGTTATTGTAGACAGCCACACTTTCTTCTTTCTGTATTTTTGTCAGGCAATTACCCTTTGTCACTAATTTATAAAAATAGCACTATATAATTAAGGCATATTTATACATGTGCTCAAAGAACATAGCCATTATAAATAATAATGATATTTTAATACTCTTGACATTTGCTTGCTACAAAAAAATTAGTAAATTTAATTTTATATTCATTATAAAGCATATGAATTTGGAGTACTGATCACTGTCTTCACCATTAAGCAGATATTATTTAATGCTATTGTATTATCGGAGGCATCACAGTAACTTCATATACTTACCAGAATGCAGTCTTGTTTTGTTAGAAATAAAGTCATGAAGCCTTTCCATTATAGGCAAATCATATATACCTTACCCTAGTGGATATCTTTCAGAGTATACTTACTTGAATGTGCAGCTTTTATAAATACCAAAAAATAGGGGAAAAATTATAACCATCTCTTATGGACTCTTTTGATAATAAGAGAAATTTTATGACAAAGCTTATGTCTTTGTCTTTAAAATTTTATTACCATATTCTAAGTTTGAATTTACTGTTTCTAAAATTTAAATTACTATTCAGTATTTCTAAACTCTTTCCAAATATGATTTCATGTTTAGTTAGGCATAAAAATGTACATGAAACCTGGAGGGAATGGCGAAAGACACCTTTATATTTGTTTTTAAAATTAAATCATGTACCTTCCTCTGTAATTTGATGACAAGGTTATCAATAATGAAATTTAACAATTTTAGTTCAATTTTAAAGCTATTGCTAAACATATACATTTCAAGAATTATATAATATTGAGTTCTTCATACCTGCAGAAGTTATAATTGTTACTAACCTTATTACCAGAAGATGTAAATCAAACCCAAGGGTATATTTTTTCACCACTAAAAATGGAGGTTTCATACATTATGAAGGTTATACCCCAGGAACAAATAAAGATTTAATATTCATAGAAACACAATGGAACAACATAGTTAGATTTGTCCTAACAAATTTGTAAAGCCATAGTTTTATATTGGTCACATTGTTCTGTGAATTCTTTTTTTGTTGTTGTTGTTGTTGTTCTGTAAATTCTTAAAAATGATTTTGTTTCTAAAGAGTAAGCTCTATCAACTTGAAGAGAATGACTATCTGAAGTAAATGACCATGTTTCATTTTTATTTTGAAAAGCCTAAAATGACATTTGATTGAGCAGAAAATTTAGGGTCATGGACTCCTCTTGAAAAATCAAATAAAACTCACCATAATACTTTGAAATTATACTTTGTTAGAGGATACTTCTATTGTAATGTGAACATTAAAGTTATATTCATTATGTATTTTGCCTACTTTTGTTCATATTTTATTCTTCTCTCTTAGTTGGCAGAATTCAGACAAGACACAAGAGTGAAGACAAAGCTGTGAGATTCAAAGAGGCATCTTTACGTCTCAGTGACAAACACAGTTGTAGGTTTTCTCCAGACTCTCACACTTTCACAGGTGAAAAATATCACAGAAAACCCAGCTGGAAAATGTCTGTCCATAAGCACCATCGCAAGGAGTATAGATATGCCCATAGTTATGAGAGTACCGTTCCTCTACGTTCTGAGACTTGCACCTCTAATGTTGTTTGCAGCCCAACTTCCAAGAATCCTAAGTCTGTCACAAGGCAGAAGACTCAAAGAAGTATTACATTTTCTTCGGATGAGGGAACTCAAAGATGTACCAGATGTTTTATGGAAATCAGTAACTCTTCTTTTCATAAATGCTCCACAAATTCTGATGACTCTGACTCTGATTCTCCTTTCCATGGCCAGATATCCTCAGATTCTAAATATTCCCTGAGGTCTAAAACTGTTAGACACTTCAAGACTTCTCGAAATCGCCCTTTATCTCAATCCCTGGATCCTAAGCATATTGTAGGCATCCGCTGCTCTCTGCACAGGGAAGATGATAAAGATTCTATGGATCCCAGCTCTTATTTACATTGTGAAAATTTTTCAGCTCTCCAAAGCTTTAAGGGCTCTTCTGCTACCCAGATTATACCTATGGACACTAAAAAAATTGTGGGCCAACATAGTATCCAGGGCCATGTAACGTCAACGCCAGTAAGATTATCTCAAAGTGGAAGCAAGTTTAACCTTACTACCCAACCTCAAAATAAGGATAATCCTGATGACAGTGATATTAAATTTATCAGTGCTAGACATATCAAAGATGAGGCTGATATTAAAGATTTACTTCTGTCCAAAGATGAGACAGACAATGAAGATGATACAAATACTGAAGATGAAACAGATGCTGAAGATGAAACAGATGCTGAAGATGAAACAGATGCTGAAGATGAAACAGATACTGAAGATGAAACAGACACTGAAGATGAAGATGACACCAAAGATAAGAAAGATCCCAAAGACAAATCTGACCCTGATGGCAGTGATCCTACAGATGGCAACTCTGAAAATAATACTGACAGCAACAATGGGTCTGCTCCTAGTGGTGCTTCTGGGTCTACAAGTGGACCTGATTCCAGCAGTGATGGTGGGGACTTTAAAAATGTAACTGATAACAACAATGAATCTGACCCTACTATCGATAATGCCACCAATAGTGATGTTAATTTGAAAACTAGCACTGATGAGATATGTACTGAAAATTTAGACAATGCTTCTGATCAGGCACAGTATTTCAGTCAATACAGTAATGCTGACTCCAACGGTAGCACAAACCCAACCTCTGGCTCTGGAAACAAGAAGAGAACTGTGCTGGACTGTATTTCTGGTTGCAACAATGACACTAGCCCTAGAAATGCCACTGAACAAGGAAATAATATTTACTCTGAGATTATCAGATCACTTTCCAACAGTCCTTTCTTCATCAAAAATGAGAGTCATCCTATCAGCAACCCCAGCCTCCAAAACAGCCATGGACCCCCAAAAGATCTTGACACTACCTCTAATACTAAACCCAGTAGTGCTACTCATCATAATGTTGTTATTCCTAACAATATTGTTCACACTAACTATGGCACAAAACCCAATAGTATTCCTATTTCCAAACATACAACATCCCTAAACAATTATTCAGACCTTAATGATGTCAGAGGGTTTACATATGAAGTAAGTTCAAGTTTTGTAGTCAACCCATACTATTTTGACAGAAAAAAATATGCTGTGAGACTCAAATTCATACTTAACACTATCAATGCCATTGATACTAGCAACATTACCAGCTGTACAAGTGCTATCAGCTCTCAGTTTACTTCTGGAAAAAACTATGCCCCAGACATTAAACATCACCCTAGATTTAGTCATTTTGATAGTTTCAACATTATCATCAATGCTAATAATTCTACTAGTACCAGCACTGTTAACCATTTCCTGGATACTGAATCAGAAATGAATTCCACACCATCTATTTTTAAAATTGTTTATGGAAGTATCTCAAATTTTATTTCTAGTACAAATTACACTTATCCTGACTTTTTTATAACCTCTGAATTTTATGATCCTCTTAAGCTTGGTAGAGATTATACTATCTTTGATAACCAAAATATTAGTGCTTTGTTCCAAGACTCTGCTGAATACATGGACTCTGATAATTCTAAGTATGCCACTGGGTCCACGGATGCCCTTGATGCCGAAGATATTTCTAGGGTCCAGAATCCAATTGTCATCAAGGATCCTTCCCCTTTCAAGATTCTTTCCAGTCAAAGTATTCCACTACCTAGTTTTGATGTTATAATGGAAGCTGACCTGCCAGATATTGTGAAGTTTGTCATTCCATCAGGTGCTGCAAATCAATCATTTAAGGTAAGTTTATATAAATATTCCTCTCAAATTCATTCTCCATTTCTTGTAATTTTTGCTGTTAGGTTATTGAACATAGTTTCAAATATTTTACTTAGTTGGATATGTAAACTGTGCAATAGAGGAGGAAAGGTGTCCAGGATTGCTTGTTTGACACCTGAAAGTAAAGAGTATAATTTGCATTAGGAAATACTTACCTTTCATACATTTTGTGAATGGAAAAATAGCATTCAATAGGCTGTAATTGACAATTCTACTTTTATGCTTCCTAAGAATGTTTGAATAGTTCATAAATGTAAACCTAGTCACAACCAAAATTTTTACACATGTATCACCCACATGTACGCTAGTTTTGTTTATATTCCTCTTTGGTGATAGAAAGAGGAAGGATGAATAGAGGGATGGAAAGGAAGGGACAGAAGGAAGGAGGACAAAAGAGAAGAATGATCCAAATTCATCTTAAATATTGTGAATGAAACCAAAAAAAATCAACTTTGAAAATGCTGATTTTTTTTAAAGATGGGAATCTGAAGTAGCTCTGGCATTCTAAACTCTTATTTTGAGATAACTAGCACTTGAGTTATTTTGATGAAAAATCAGAAAACAAAGTTTCCCACTAGTAGCTTTTCTACTTTTAATTCAAAACCTGTTTATCTTATTTTTTCTTATACTAAGTAAACCTGTATCTTAATCAAATATTTCCTCTAGTAGTCTGAATTACAAGTACAAATTGAGATTGCTAAAGTGTTTGGGAAACTATTTTTTACAATAAAAGTACTGTTATTTCATGCAACTTTACCAACATGTTATCATACAAGAATAATTAAGTTGGTATGCATTGAATTTTAGCACCTTTATATATTAGACAAGGGAAATAAAATTAAATTTGATTTTAGTGTCTGTTAGCAAATGTTTAAATTCCTATAATTTGTTTTCCATAAAATAAGTAAATGAATATGATAGATTTAGAATGCAGCAAAGATTCAAATAGCCAAAATAGAATTACAAACTTATCTCTTTGATGCTTTTACTTTAATAGAGAACAGTTTTATGTTTTTTTTTCCCAAACGACAACATCTTCCTATGGTATTTATGATTTTCAAATATAACCTTAGAGGTAAAACTGGCTAGTTATAAGTAATGAGAAGAGTATTGTTCAGATAAAATCTTTAAAAATAAGAGTTTGGTTTTCTGTCTTTTTTTTCCAGTTCTCTCAAGTGAAGCATTGTTTTCATTATATGATAAAAAAATTAAATGTTTTATTTGATTCTTTTGGTATCTATAGCCAAATGAAAACATGGTTTAAAGCTTATAAGTTTTGAGGAATGCAGTTATCATTTTATGTCTTGTGTTTAAAACCATGGCATTTAAGAACTCTGTGTCCATTGCTCTCCTTGTGGAGCTCCTGTCCCCTCCAGGTATTTCTATCTCCTTCTTTCATAAGATTCCTTGCACTCAATCATATGAAAGAAGGGGAGTTAGTATGATGTGGAAAGAATAGGAGCTCCACAAGGACCAAATATATCTGGGCACAGGGTCTTTTCTGAGACTGACACTCTACCAAGGACCATGTATGGATATACCTTAGAACCTCTGCTCAGATGTAGCCTGTGGTAGCTCAGTAACCATAGTAAGTATACTAGTATCCCATAGTAAGGGGAACAAGGACTATTTCTGACAGGAACTCAATGGCAGGCTCTTTGACCTCCCCACCCCCCCAAGGGAGGAGCAGTCCTGTTAGGCCACAGAAGAGGACTTTGCAGCCAGTCCTGAAGATACCTGATAAACCAGAGTCAGATGAAAGGGGAGGAGATCCTCCCCAATCAGTGGACTTGGAAAGGAGCAGGGAGGAGATGAGGGAGGGAGGGTGGGATTGGGAGGGAATGAGGGAGCAGGATACAGCTGGGATACAGAGTTAACAAAATGTAACTAATAATAATAATAAAAAAAGATTCCCTGCACTCTGCCCAAAGTTTGGCTTAGTCTCAACATCTGCTTTGGTACCCTGCAAGGTAGAATCTTTCAGAGGTCCTCTGTGGTAGGCTCCTGTCCTGTTCCCTGTTTTCTCCCACTTCTGATTTCCATCCCCTTTGCCTTTCTGTATGAGGACTGATCATCTTACCCAGGGTCATTCTTCTTAATTAGCTTTGTTAAGTGAACAGATTTTAGTATATATATGCTACATTATATGTCTAATATCCAGTTATGAGTGAGTATATACCCTGTGTGTCTTTCTGCTTCTGGGATACCTCAACCAGGATGACCTTTTCTAGTTCCCACCAATTGCCTGCAGTTTCATAATTAGGGGTGTTTTTTGAGACTGATACTCCAACCAAGGACCATGCATGGAGATAACCTAGAACCCCTGCACAAATGTAGCCCATGGCAGCTCAGTGTCCAAGTGGACTCCCTAGTAATGGGAACAAGAACTGTTTCTGACATGAACTCAGTGGACTGCTCTTTGATCACCTCCCCATCAAGCGGGTTCAGCCTCACCAGGCCATCCTGATGAGAACTGATAGACTAGGATCAGATGGAAGGGGAGGAAGACCTCCCCTATCAGTGGACTGGGGAAGGACCATGGGTGGAGAAGAGGGCGGGAGGGGGGATTGGGAGGAGAAGAGGGAAAGAGCTACAGGAGGAATACAAAGTGAATAAACTGTAATTAATAATAATCATAAAGGACTCTGTTTCCCAACCAAGAATGACAAGATGAAACATGCCTATAAAATGGATTGCTTTTACAGAGAAAACAAAATTTTCAAGTACAAGGCATTCCTTTCTCAAAAACAAATATCACAGGAGCTTATAATGAACTTTGTATATAAATAAATACTATAACTAGGAATGTTTATCCAATATTTATGCCAGGACTAAACAATTGAAATACTTGCAACCAATTACAGTTTTCCCCCCCATTGGAGACAAGCAGACTTCACAGTAAATTGTGAATAGCTTTAGAAACAATGTATTTTATGTGCCTTCCAAAACAAAGTATTTTGTGTAAGTGTGAGTGATTGTCTTCCCTTAGACATTTGATGTTTCATATTTTCCTGGTTTATTATATCCATGTTCATATTTGCCTGTTGAAAACAACAATTAAGAGAACATGGGTGCTTTTCATTCATACAGTCAACAAAATGAGGGACTCTCATTTTAAAAAAATAACATTTCTATTAATCATATATGAACCAATACTCCAGAATACATAGTCAATCCACTTGTACTCTTTAATTCAATTATTTAATATAAATTTAATTATTAAACAATGCTGTAAGCTAAAAACAAGAATAGAGACTAAGTAAAAAGCATAGCTGCTACTCCTTGAAGAACTCATAGTCTACTAACCTTCATAGAAAGGAAGTAGACATTTGAGATATCAGTTAAATGAAAACAAATATAACAGCATCTGAGTTTCCAGAGTGATTAGAAATCTTACCAATGTATTTAAGTTAGTTTGAAGTATATGTGTAGGTTTTAATTTGTGCTACAAGTTTTAGAAATACTTAATGAGATCCCAATTCTCAGGTTGTCTCTGTTATGATATTGGTTAATTTGTCTGTAGTATAACTAGAACTACATTACTGAATGACTAGTGTCTCTTAAGTTATTTAGAAGTTAGATTACAAAAGCAGAATTAATAAAATTCCTAATCTGATGGTAGATTTGAATGACTTGCAAGAACTGTTAGAATTATTTGGAGTCAGTCATTTTGTGTTTACAGTAGAATGTTTGAAGTACAATGATAACCCTGAACAATTCAGTAGTTTTATATAGTTTATTAAAATAAAAAATATAAATATATAATAGGCATTTCTATTAATAAATGCCTGCACAAAACTATCAAAAGTACTCTTTTTTGTACTAAAGAACACTTTATACATACAATAAGAGCTTCAAAACTTAATCACTAAACATGTTCTTGAATTTATACATATTTTGAATATTTGAGAGATCCAACAGATAAGCCTCTTTTTTGGAAATACTAAAGTTACAATATAGCAATGTTAAAAGGAAGATATTCTGAAGTAGACAAAAGTTGCAAGACTTGTCTTTTTAAGTGCTAGCCATAGTATTACAAGAGCTTCCTAATCTAACAACCATGGAGAGTTATTTTTAAGCTTAATTAGTGAAATGCTGCTTAAATTGAATTTCAAATATACACATAGTCCAGAGAATGTGGTGTCCACCTAAAAATAAAAAGACTCCTTATCAATTCCTTTATTCCTGGATTTTTATGAGTATGCTATATTTTCTAACAGTGGAAGATGTGTTTCTTAGAGATTTTCAATCTCAGATTCCACCGAAGAACTTCTGTTCAAAGATAAAGGCAACTTGCTCAAGGTCTATTAATTGTTCAGCTTCTTTACCAAGAGCACCATCAGTGTACCAGTTATTCCCATAAAGTAGCTATTTTATGTATCAATTTAATAATTTTTCATATTACTAAAGTATTTTGATGGCCTCTTAGTTTTCTGTTACTTGGCATATGAGGATTTTTATCTTTCACATTTTTTATACTGCTGAGTTATTGAATAAAAGCTACTGTTGTATTAAGCAAGTGATCTATCATTCAACTATACCTGTAAATATGATGGGAACTAGAAGGTGTTCAGTTGAACTGAAAGGACAGGATCCAACCACAGAGGGCCCCTGAAAGACTCTACCTAGCAGTGTATCAAAGCAGATACTGAGACTCATAACCAAACCTTGGGCAGAGTGCAGAGAAACATATGAAAGAAGGGGGAGTTAGTATGACCTGGAGAGGACAGGCACTCCACAAGGACCAAATATAGCTGGGCCCAGGGGTCTTTTCTGAGACTGTTTCTCCAACCAAGGTCCATGAATGGACCTTGGGGAAAGGACCTCCGCAATCAGTGAATTTAGAGAAGGGCAGGAAGGAGATGAAGGAGGGAGGGTGGGATTGGGAGGGAATCAGAGAGGGGGCTATAGTTGAGATACAAAGTAAATAAACTGTAATTAATATAAAAATAATAAACACAATAAATAAATAAATACGTAAATACATAAAAACAACTCACTTCAAAAAAAAATGAAGCGTTCAGTTGAAGTACAGTAAACTGAATTGAATTTTCCTTTTAGTATATTTAAAGGTATCAGACTCAATATAACTAAAGTATTCTCTCAAAGAATTCTGAGCAGAAAAAAAGGAATGATTAAAAAAAGAGAGACATGATTTCCTTGTTTTTAATAGCTGAGTAGCATACCATTGTGTACATGAACCACAATTTCTGTATCCATTCCTCCACTGAGGGGCATCTAGGTTGTTTCCAGAGTCTGGCTATTACGTAAAGAGCTGCTATGAACATTGTTGAGCAAATATCCTTGTGGTATAATTAAGCATATTTCAGGTATATCTGTCTAGGAGTGGTATAGCTGGAACATGAGGTAACACTATTCCTCCCTTTCTGAGAAAGCACCAGATTGATTTCCAAAGTGGTTATGCAGGTGTACATTCCCACCAGCAATGAAGAAGGGTTCCCATTTCTCCACATCCTCTCTAGCATGTGTTGTCACTTGAGTTTTTTATCTTAGTCACTCTGATGGGTATAAGAGTGGACATCATGAAATTTGCAGGCAAATGGCAGGAACTAGAAAAGATTATCTTGAGTGTGGTAACCTAGAAGCAGAAAGACACAAATGGCATATACTCATTCATAAGTATTTATTAGACATATAATATAGGATAAAAATTCAAAAATCAATAGTCCTAAAAAAAGCTAAACAACAAGGAGTACACTAGGTAAGATACTCAGTCCTCATTCAGAAGGGAAAACACAAAACATATCAGAAGTAAGAGAAGACAAGGAACAGGACATGAGCCTACCACAGAGGGCCTCTGAAACACCCCACTGATCAAGGTATTGAAGCAGAGATTGAGACACATAGTCAAACTTTGGGCAGAATGCATGGAATTTTATGAAAGAAATGGGACAGAGAAAGACCTGGAGGGGACAGGAGCTCCAAAAGGAGAATAACAGAGCCAAAAAAAAAATAAATAAATAACTGGGCCCTGGGGGCCCTGTAGAGACTGATACCCCAGCCAAGGACCATGCATGAAGAGGACATAAAACAGCTGTTCAGGGGAAGCCCCTTTACTCACTCTCCAAGTGGGTTTCCTAGTAAGGGGAGCATGGGTTGTCTCTGGCATGAACTCAGTGGCACGGAGGAAAACAATGCAACAACTGCTGATGGGACCTGATAGGCTAGTGTCAGATAGAAGGGGGGGAGGTCCTCTCCCATTAGTGGACTAGGGAAGAGGCATAGGGAGAGAAGATGGAGGGGGGTGGGATTGGGAGGAGATGAGGGAGGGGACCACAGCCAGGATACAAAGTGAATAAACTGTAATAAATAATAATAAGTAATAAAAATGAAAAGAAAAATAAATTATGAAAAAAACATAATTAAAGAAAAATTTAAATGAAAATAACATTCCAAACTTATCTAACATAAGAATAGAACTTTAAGTGCCCTCAGTGAAGAAAAATAACCACAATGGTAAGAATGTCTTGTTTTTAATTTCCAGAACCTTACATCTTCTTTTTATATTAATTGGATCAATAAAGAAAAGCCTAAAGAAGAAAGTAACAAACTATATGCTCAAATTGAACATAACGTAAATATTCATTGATTTCTGAGCCTTTCTGCATAATCACAACATACATAAAAATAAATTTTTAATTTCATTCAGTAGCAAGTTAAAACAGAGGGCCTCTGAATGACTCTACCCAGCAAGTTACTATGAAAATAGTTTTTCCTCTAGTTTTTTTCCTAAAGTATCCTTTTTGTTTTTGTATTTATTTTATTTTCATTTATTACAATTTATTCATTTTGTATCCCAGTTGTAGCTCCCTTCCTCATCTCCTCCCAATCCCTCACTCACTCACTCTTCTCCCATTTTGTTCCACCAACCCACTGATACGGGAGGTCCTTCTCCCCTTCCATCTGGCCCTAGCCTGTCAAGACTCATCAGGGCTTGCTGTATTGTCTTACTCTGTGGCCTGGTAAGGCTGCCCCACCCAGGGGGAGGTGATCAAAGAGACAGCCACTGAGTTCATGTCAGAGACAACCCCTGTTTCCCTTTTGGAGACTGAGCTGCAGTGGGCTACATCTGTGCAGGGGTTCAAGGTTATCTTCATGCATGGTCCTTGGTTGGAGTCTCAGTCTCAGAAAAGACACCTACACTCAGATTTTTTGCTTCTGTTGCTCTCCTTGTGGAGCTCCAGTCCCCTCCAGGTCTTTCTAACTTCCCCTTCAATCATAAGATTCCATGCACTTTGCCCAAAGTTTGCCTATGAGTCCCGGAATCTGCTTTAATACCCTAGTGGGTAGAGACTTTCAGAGGCCCTCTGTTGTATGCTCCTCTTCTGTTCCCTGTTTTCTCCCTTTTCTGATATATCTATCCTGTATGCCTTTCTGAATGCGGATTGAGCATCTTACCCAGCGTCCTCCTTCTTTCTTAGCTTCTTTAAGTGTGCAGATTTTAGTATGATTATTCTATATTATACATATAATATCCACTTATGAGTGAGTATATACCATAAATGTCCTTTTTGTATACTTGAACACATTTTCGATATATGCCTGGGAGTGGTATAGCTGGATCTTGAGGTAGCACTATTTCTAATTGTCTGAAAAAGTGCCAGATTGATTTCCTAAGTGGTTGTACAAGTTTACATTGCTACCAACAATGGAAGAGATTACCCCTTTCTCCACATCCTCTCCAGTATGTGAGTGTAAGGTGAAATCTCAGGGTCCTTTTGATTTGCATTTCCATGATGACTAAGGACATTGGGCATTTCTTTAAGTGTTTCTCTGCCATTTGATATTCCTCTATTGAGAATTCTCTGTTCTGTACCTCCCCCCCCCCTTTTTTAATTGGATTACTTGCTTTGTTGCTGTTTAACTTCTTGAGTTATTTATGTATTCTGGATATTAGCCCTCTGTCAGATAGAGGGTTGGTGAAGATTCTTTCCCAATCTGTAGGCAGGCGTTTTGTTTTGATGACAGTGTCCCCTGCTTTACAGAAGCTTTTCAGTTTCATGAGGTCCCAGTTATTGATTGTTGATCTTAGAGCCTGTGCTGTTGGTGCTCTGTTCAGGAAGTTGTCTCCTGTGCCAGTGAATTCAAAGGTTCTCCCAACCTTTTTTTTGAACAGGTTTAGCGTGTCTGGTTTTATATTGAGGTCAGTCACCCTCCTGTATACAAAAGACAAATGGGCTGAGAAAGAAATTAAGGAAACAACAACCTTCACAATAGCCATAAAGGACATAAAGTACCTTGGTGTAACTCTAACCAAGCAAATCAAAGACTTGTATGAAACAAACTTCCTGTTTCTAAAGAAAGAAATTGAAGGTATCAGAAGATGCAAAGATCTCCCATGCTCATGGCTTGGCAGGATTAACATAGTAAAAATGGCCATCTTACCAAAAGCAATCTATAGATTCAATGAAAGAACAGTTGTCAACTTTATATGGAAAAACAAACAAACAAAAACCAGAATAACTAAAACAATTTTATACAACAAAAGAATGTTTGGAGGTATCTCTGTCCCTGACTTTTTATACTTCACGGCATTAGTAATAAAAATCATATATTACTGGCTTACAGACAGAGTGTTAAACCAATGGACTCAAATTGAACATCCAGACATAAACCCACACACCATACAATGGAAAAAAAAATAAAGATAGCATCTTCAACAATTGGTGCTGGTATCTACACATAGAAAAATGCAAATAGATCCATACCTAGCGTGCTGCACAAAACTAAAGTCCTAGTGGATCAAAGACCTCAACATAAACTTGACACACTAAACCTGTTAGAAGATAAAGAAAATTTACTCAGCTGAGCATTGTGGTATAAGCCATTAATCCAAGCACTCAGGAAGGCAGAGGCAGGTGGATTTCTGTGAGTTCCGTGGTAGCCTGGTCTACATCTCAAGTCCAGGACAGCCAAAGCTACACAAAGAAAACCTGTCTCATGGGGAAAAAAAGGAAAATTTACTCAAAAAGTATCAATTTGCTCTTGATTACCTGTGCTTTATTACTACACTTCTACTGCAAGTAGAAAACGTCCTAAAGCATACGTATTTTTCTTTCCTCTGTTTCTCTTTTGAGAATATAAATATGTACATATTCTTATATAAAACTGTTTTTTTATTTTTGTTTGAAATTTTTGAAAAATAAGTTGTGAGAGAATTGATTTTATATTTAAAAATATTTAAATTTATATCAGAATAGGTACCAAGTTTTCAATAGTTGTTGTCTGTCTAAAAACTTTAATCATTTCTTCACAGAAAGAAAAGATATGCAAAGTTATTTATCTTTTTTATTTTTCAAGTTGGTTAAAAATGAAACAAGTTGTATAAATAATCTCAGATAATCTAAGCAGTTTGAAACCTGAACTTTATTTTTTTTTCCAACACCCTTAAGAATCTTAACATGTCTACTAACTTTCTGGACAGCTAACCATTTGTTGTTCTCTTTGTTTTCTTCAGATGTGTGATAATTACAGTGGTACTTCAAGAGCAGAAGGGCCATCTTTGGCAGTACCTAAGAGAGAAATTACTAAAAGATCTTCTGAAGTTTGGAAATCAGCAGAGAGACCTTCTTGGGGACCTGAAGAACGACAACTTGTCAGATTTCAAAGAGGCTATGTTATAAATCCTGCTAGAGATCTTGCTGAGAGGTCAGGGCAAGGACTCACAACAATTTCTGCCAGGCGCCATTATGTGAGCCCTGCAAGAGCATACTCTGAGAAATGTGGTAGAGAATATGCCATCAGTCTTGCGAGAGGATACACTAAGAGAAAAGCAAGGCCAAGAGTCTTGAGTCCTTACAGAATGCATACTGTGAATTCTGCACAGGAAGTTACTCTGCAACCAGTATGCAGACTTTCCATGAGACATGAAGAAGAATTTCTTCTGGGAGCTGCAGTGGGACTTACTGTGAAATCAGTACAAGGATATGATGAAAAAACTGTCAGACAACCTACCCGGTAAGTTTCTATCATGTGGCTTTACAATAATATGTTGTATATATAAAATCGCTAAAGTAAAGTTTTGTTTTTCATGCCCATACATTTATGACTGTGAGTATAAACATATAAAGGTATTATTTTAAGAATTTAAAAAAAGTAATTCAGTGAAAGGAAATAGTTCAAGAAAAAAACTGTTGATTACATTTATCTTTTATTTGAAGATAGTTTATGAAGTGAAAAGAGACACTATATTAGATATTTCTAGAAAGTGACAAAATATTTGAAAAATGATAAACCTGCCTTCCAAAAATAGTCATTTTGTAGATCCTTACAAACAATAAACAGTAAAATAATTTTACCATCTCTTAATATTCAAAAGGCAACAATGATCATACATAAAATGGTAAGATAATAATTGAAAAAAACCCTTAACCAGATACTTGAAATGATGATTTCAAGGTATGCTCTAGTTTATTATCATTATTATTATAAAACTCAAAATTCACAAAAAACATCAAGTATTTCTATGGGTTTTATTTGTTTTCCTCCATATAGTAATATCTTATATATAGGGTACTAAATTTTACAATATAAATAAATGTTTGTTTTATTACTTTAAAATCAATGTTTCATTCATAGTTTCCTTGTAAAAAAATACTTGGCATCAGATGCCACATCCCAAGACAAGTTTCGAAACAATAATCTAGCTCTAAAAGTATGCTAGAAACATTTCTTTCTTTCTTGGGTTTTCTTCATATCATCAGTTTTTAGTATGTAATTTACTGAACATTTACCAATTCAGATAGAAAAAATACTCTTTGAAATATCATTTCTAACTACTTAAAAACTGAAAAATATATTCTAAATTAAACCGTTGGTTCCTTCATTAGTATAATAAGATACTTCCAGTTTTCAGAAGTCATTTTTCTTCATGTTTCATTGACTTTAAAATTTAGCTTCAGTGAATTATACTTAATTAATTAATTAAATTAAAAAATTATCTTCAGCAAAGTGAATTTCTGTGGTTTTATTTTTTGTACACATATAATTAAAATGTAATTACAACAAATTTTCCCCATCCAGTCCCTTTCAAGTCTCCTTCCTTTTACTCCTTCCATGTGTTTCATGTGATAGCCTCTTCTACATGTGTGCATGCACATGTGCATATACATACAACTGTAGAAACACAATCTTCTCAGAAGTTAGTTTTTGTAGCTTATATGTATTTGGTCTCAGGGATGACCACTTTTGATTGGACAATCAATTAGCGTCTCATCCCTGGAAGAGGCTTCCTTTCCATCTCTCAGCTGTCACTCAGTTGCCTATAGTTCCTTGTCCAGCGGTATGAAACTGAGATTTCTGCCTCTCCTTGTTAAAATGACTATTAAAGCAATGTGTATATTTAACTGTTGGTGAAATTTCAAATGCAAAGAAAATGACTGGAGGATCTGCTAAAACTGGCTTTTCGATATAGTCAATTGAGAAATATTGAGAGCCTTTCCTTCAGAACTTCATGGACATTAACTAAAACCTCACAAAATTTGGCATTTTGGGTTAAATAGTAGGTGTTCACTATGACAATGTTAAAAGACTTGCAATTAACAAATTTTGTTGCTTTTCTCCATCCTTTTATCTTTACTTTTTAATTATTTAATGAAAATACAATTACATCAATTTCTCCCTTCCCTTTCCTCCTTCCACCCTTTCTCATGTACCCTTATTTACTCTCACTCAGATTAATGGCCTATGCTTAATTTTTTAAACTTTATGCACATATATATTCCTACAAACACACATACACACACACACACACACACATTTTAACAAGATCCAGCTATACCACTCCTAGGCATATATCCAAAATATGCCCAAGTATAGAACAAGGACTTTTGCTCAACCATGTTTGTAGCAGCTCTATTCATAATAAAAAGAATCTGGAAACAACCTAGATGTCCCTCAACCGAGGAATGGATACAGAAATTGTGGTACATTTACATAATGGAATAATACTCAGCAGTTAAGGAAATCATGAAATTTGCAAGGAAATGGTGGGAACTAGAAAAGATCATTCTGAGTGAGTTATCCCAGCAGAAAGACACCCATGGTATATACTCACTTATAAGTGGATATTAGTCATTTAATATTGGATAAACATGCTACAATTCGTACATGTAAAGAAGCTAAGCAAGATTTTTTCTTTTTTAATTTTTCTTTTTTATTCACTTTATATTTTCCTTGTAACCCCATCAGTCCTCCCCTCCAAGTCCTACCCTCCCTATGTTCCAACCTCCTCTCCTTTTCCTCAAAAAAATGGAGCTCCCTTTCCCAACCAGCCCAGCTCACCAAGTTGCATCAGGACAGAACTTGTCCTCTTCCCCTGTGGCCTGTCAAGGCAGTCCCACCAGGAAGGAGTGACCAAAAAGCTGACAAGTGAGTACTTTGTCCAGTGCAGTCCCCTACATGAGGCCTAAACTGCCCATCTGCTACATCTTTGTAGGAGATCTAGGTCCAGTACATGCCTGGTCCTTGGTTGATGCTTCAGTCTCAGCAAGACCTTCTGGGTCTTGATTAATTGACTCTGTTTGTCTTCTTGTGGAACTTCTGTCACCTGCAGGTCTTTTTCCTCTTTTCTCAGTTTTCTACAAGATGCCATACACGTAATTCAATGTTTGACTGTAAGTCTCCACATCTATCCATGTTTTGAGGTGCTGCTAGGTAGCACCTCTTAGAGAATAACTCTGTCAGGCTCCTGTCTACAAGTTTAGGAGAGCTTTGGTAATAGTGTGAGTGGTTGGCACTCTCTGATAGGGTGGGTCTTTGCTTGGGCCAGGACTTGATTGGGCATTCCCTCAGTCTCTGCTCGATCTTTATTCCTGCACATCTTGTAGGCAGGGTAAATATTGAATAAAGTTTTTGTGGGTGGGTTAGTGTTCCCCTTTCTTAAATAGTAGACTAGTTTGTAGGCATCCTCTTCAGTCTCTGTGCCCTCTTCTACTAAGAGTGAAGTATCCCAGAAGGAGAAAGACAAACATGGAATATACTCACTTATATAGACCTAAAAGATATGATAAACATAATGAAATCTATACACCTAAAGAAGATAATCAAGAAAGCGGACACGGGGTATGATGATCAATCCTCATTTAGAAAGACAAATGGGATATGCATTGAACATATGACAGGAGTCTACCGCAGAAGGCATCTGAAAGACTCTACCTAGCAGTGTTCCAAAGTAGATACTAAGACTCATAACTAAACCCTTGGCAGAGTTCAGGGAATCATATGAAAGAAGGGGAGTTTGATGTGGAAAGGATAGGAGCTCCACAAGGACCAAACATATCTGGGCACAGGGTCTTTTCTGAGATGGACACTCAACCAAAGACCATGAGAGGATAAAACCTAGAACCTCTGCTCGGATGTGACCTGTGATAGCTCAGTAATCAATTGGTTTCCCATAGTAAGCGAAACAAGGACTATTTCTAACAGGAACTCAATGACTGGCTCTTTGACCTCCCCACCTCCCAAGGGAGGAGCAGTACTGTTAGGCCACAGAGGAGGACTTTGCAGCTAGTCCTGAAAATACCGGACAAAACGGAGTCATATGAAAGGGGAGGAGGTCCTCCCCTATCAGTGGACTTGGAAAAGGGCAGGGAGGAGATGAGGGAGGGAGGGTGGGACTGGGGAGGGAATGAGGGATACAGAATTAACAAAATGTAACTAATGAGAAAAATAAAATTAAAAAAAAGTCTTTGCTTAAGTGCCATTCATATCTTCTCAAGAACCTACCAAGACTAAGGTCTCCAGGTTGTCAAAGCAATAACCCCACAGAAAAGAACTTGCCCTTGTTCTCCCTAGGTCTGTTGTCTACCCTCTTAACTCTCTGCACCTCATCTCCTATCTTGTTCCCTCTCTTCAGCCACTACCTTTATTCTATCTCCCTTTCTAAGGGAGCTTTATGCATCCTCCCTTGGATCCTATGTGTTACTTATCTTCTTTGAATCTGTGCCTTGTAGTATGCTTATTCCAGAATATATGGGTAAAATCCACTTGTAAGTGGGTACATACCATGTGTGTCATTTTGGGTCTGTGTTACCTCACTCAGAATGATCATTTCTAGTTCCTTCCATTTGCTTGCAAATTTCATGATTTCTTTGTTTTTAATAGCTGAGTAGTAGTTCATTGTGTAAATGTGCCACAGTTTCTTTATCTATTTTTCACCTGAGGGACATCTATCTAGGTTGTTTCCAGATTTTGGCTTTTGTGAATAAATTTACTATAAACATAGTAAACAAGTATCCTTATTGTATGGTGGAGTGTCTTTTGTGTATAAGGAGAGATATAGCTTGAGGTAAAACTATTCCCAATTTTCTGAGAAAGTGACAGATTATTTTCAAAAGTGGTTGTATAACTTTACATTCCCACAAGTAATGGAGGAGTGTTTCTCTTTCTCTGCACACTTCCCAGCATGTGCTGTCGCTTAAGATTGTTATCTTGGCCATTCTATGGTTTTGGCTCCTTCGACAAAGATCGAGTGACCATAGGTATGTGGGTTTATTTCTGGGTTTTTGATTTGATTCCATTGATCAACCAGTCTATTTCTAGTACCATGCAATTTTTATTACTGTTTCACTATAGTATAAGTTAAAGTCAGGGATGGGATACCTCCTGAAGTTCTTTTATTGTATAGGATTGTTTTATCTATTCTGAGTTTTTTTTTTTTTCTTTTTCCATATGAGGTTTAGAATTCCTCTTTCAGGGTTTGTAAAGTACTGTATTGGTATTTGATACTGATTGCATTCAATCTGTAGACTACTTTTGGTAAGATGGCCATTTCTACTATGTTAATCTTATAGAGCCACGAGCGAGGGAGATCTTACCATCTTCTGATATCTTCTTCAGTTTTTTTTTTTTTCTTCAGAAACTTGAAGTTCTTGGCATACAGGTCTTTCACTTGCTTGGTTAATGTTGCACCAAAATACATTATATAATTTGTGGGTATTGTAAAGGGTGTAGTTTCC